TGCAGCTTCATCCGCCTTGGCCTTTTTCAGCTCGGCATGAATGGCGTCTCGCTAGGGGATGAGTTCGACAATGTGCTTGGTTTGGTCACCGAGGATCCTCTCGATCTTCAGGATGTGGTCATCCTTTGCAGCTGCAACCCGCTCGGCGTTTTCTTATATCCCCAAAAATGTTCAATGATGGCTCCCACCTGCTGGTTGGCCTGAAAAAGGAGGGATGTTAGAGAATGACCAAAAGGGGGCAAGGGTTACTCGGGAAAGCGTAGACTTACCACCAAGTTGTTTTGGATAGTGTTCATCAGGAGCCGATTGTCCAAGTAACCTTTGTACACGGTCATATCGACGTCAAATTAAAGCGTTCCCGCGACGGTAAAGGCCACTTCGGGGGATTGAAGGATGGAGTCGATTTTCAGAACAGGCTGGTCGTTCCTGGTCTCGGCTTGAGAAACCCACTCACCCGAGACAGATGGGCCCAGGGCCGGGGCATCATGCCACTGCTTTACATGGCACTCCTCTGATTGTTTGGCGTCCCAAGCACGTCTGTCCCTTAGCCGGTCTCTCGAAGCGGGGACTTGTTGAGATTAGGGCCTTTGCCTGTTCGGCATGGCCGAATCCCTGGGTTGCATGCGCGGCGGCGGCGGCTGCCTCCAAGGAGAACTGGGCTGGGGGATGATGGGGGCAATGTTGGAAGACTTAGCCAGCCTGACGAGTCTAGCTCTCCTTACCAAGGCAGTGGCCTCCATTGTAGCTGCAGTGATGGGTGACGGATTAAACATTTCGGGTGCGAATGGCTCGGGAGCATGATGCTGAGTCTTTTCTTTGGAATCTCCCTTAGATTCTTCCTCTTCTGACGAGGAATGATCTTCCCAAACGGAAGGGTTGAAAGGAGGTGGGATCTGGGAGAATCGACTGTAGGTCGGCGTGTAGCCGAGAAGGGTATATGCCGTTCAGCTGGATCTGAGGACCCGACCCTTAGCAGATCAGCAAATCAAACTTGGGACCTTAGCGGTTGAGCAGCGTCCTGGTGATATCCTTCTGCAAAAGCAAAATAAAAATTAGTACGTCCCTCGGACCCAAGAATAGATAAATCGAGAAGTCGGAAACAAAACACATATTCATCTCTCGATACTTTAGGGCAGTACAATCTATTATACTCGGGCCCGGTCCCTTTCTCCCAACTGCCGTCGAGCATAATCAGATCGTCCACATACCCCTTGTCCGAGTCAGGCATGTGGGTTATCAAGTACATTATGGAATCTCGGGCCTGGAGATAATATCACCCCCTGGCAACGAGCCTTAGGTCGTAGCAGAATAAAATTTTGTCTACCCCTAAGTTAGTCCCCAACCGAGTGTTTAAGGCGACTACGTCCATCACAATCCTAAAGAAGTTAATCCCACATTGGAGGGGAAAGAGCTTCAGTTGCATCCAAACTCCCAACAACAGAGGATGGAGGGGGAAGGTCAACCCTCCTTCCATGATGACCTTCGTCCAGAAAGGCATCATGTCTACAGTCCCATCTCCTATGGTGAGTGGGGTTGAAGAGAAAAACGAAGACAGGCTCACAGATGTGGTACCTGACTCTAAAAGCTTGGATATTCTCATTTGTCACTTGGGTTCTCCTCATCTTGTGGGTAGTACTAGCCCTAACCGACATTTTCCCCCTTGTTCTATTAGTTCTAGCCATTGGTGAGCACTAAGAGGACAAAATATAGAGAAAATTAAGAGAGAAAAAGTTCGAGTGGAAATACTTACAGAAGGGTGGTCTTCAAAGAGGGCTTGGAGGACGAATGAAACTCGGAGGACAGAAGAGCACTCGGGGTCTGACTGCCGAGGAGAGATTGAGGATGCAAAAGTTCTGAGAGGGTAAGAACACCTCCTATTTATACTGCCTCACAGGGAGCGGGAATCGAAAAGTTGGCTCATCATTAGGGCATTTGAAAAGGACGGCACCAGACGTGCAAGTAACCGTCGCCATTAATAAGGCATGATGATGGAGCCCCAGTCCCTTTACGCCACTTGTCTTGCGCTGCGAAAAGGATTGCGACTGGGGAGCAGTTGGCGGGACTCCAGTGCGGCTCTTCAGCCTCCGGGTTGACACATGGAACAATGAAGCAGTAGGGATGACCAAGGGATGTCGAGGAGGTATGTCGAGGAATAGTGATACGGAGCGGCCGAGTACGATAGTTGACATCGTATTTAATGCGATGTGACCTCACATTTATGATGGAATGAGTGATAGTGACATGACAAATAAATGTGCGTCTGCAAGCAACTGCCCTCTGAGAGTTTAAGCCTACTGTCATGATGGCTAAGCATTAATGGCTGATGCACCGAGACGACGCATCAGATCTCCCAAGGAACTGTTCCGCCAAGTATTCAATGCTTGATTGGTGTCAAATGCCGACCTGATGGATTTGGCCATTCGGGGAAAGGCATAATTGCTCAGCAGGTGGCCGAGCTTTTACTCCATTTTCCTAGCATTCAATAGGAGGAGATGTGAATAGGAAGCACTCACTGCACGAGGGATGGTGTGTCAGATATGAAGATGTCCAGATGTGACTGAAGACCTTTGACAATCATTACCAATTCAGGTATAAATATTCCTTAAAAAAATGGACAAAGGTACGCAAACTAAAACCAGAAAAAGTCCATTAAGCAAAACCCTTCGAGCTCTTACTGACTTAAGTTTCGGAGGGGATTAGCCAGGCACACGTCTGACCCTGTTATTCCAGGTTCGTCAGTTGGAAAATCGCCGCCTCACACGATTGCAGGAATCATCCCGTGCAATTTGGCGTCGTCTGTGGGAACGAAAGCATTTCTTCCGATAGCGATCCTCTGATGGTGAACACTCGATCTCAGGGTGAGGGAGCAGGTGTACAGGCTAGGAACGCAGAGCTCATCCGGCTTCCAATAGTTCTGAAACCAGACTCATTAGGCCAATCAGATAGGGTGGGACATTCTTCGCAAAAGANAGCAGGTGTACAGGCTAGGAACGCAGAGCTCATCCGGCTTCCAATAGTTCTGAAACCAGACTCATTAGGCCAATCAGATAGGGTGGGACATTCTTCGCAAAAGACGCTCCCTATGAATCAGGGCCTTGGGGGACATGACCTCATGGCCCATGACATCGTGGAGATAGTGTAAAAATGGATGGGCAAGCGTATTAAATAACTCGAAAGAAAAACGTCAAAGTTCAGCAACGTCTTGACGTATTAAAAATATAAAAAACATATTTCTTAGTACCATTCATATATAGTCATACTCAAAACAAACATGACTCAGAGTTGAAGCAACACTATTACTGTCCGGTAGTAAAGGCTTACGAGTGGTGGTTGGGCAGCGACGTGTGCATTGCCCAACAATGAAGCTACCGAATATAAAGAGTCNTACGAGTGGTGGTTGGGCAGCGACGTGTGCATTGCCCAACAATGAAGCTACCGAATATAAAGAGTCCTCCATTTTTTACTAGGAATAAAGCCACGGACCACACAACTTAGAGGAATTAGAAATGCAAAATTGCTGGAGGTTCCCCCAAGGAATTAGAAATTGAATTTAGTCCCCGGCGGAAGTTTGCAACGGGGGCTTACTGACTGAAAAACCACCATGCTCCTGTTGTGCTCTCAAGACAAATTATTGATTGGTTTGTGTTAATGACACTTTACTTATTTAATATTTAAAAACCAACCCTTAACCTCTTATTTAATTATATGCATTTGTTTACACACTAACCCCAAATGTGTAGGTTTTGTAGATGTAGTAGAAGATAAAATGTCACCAACTCAAACAACATGGGGTTAAAATATAATTTACCCAAAAATGAATGTAGAAAGGAAAATGCAAAAAAACCCTTATGAGTCATTATCAACTGACATGGACTATGACTTTATTCTGCCGTGGACCACAATACATACTGCAAGTTGCAGTCTGGCTTTCTTTCTCGGTATAATGTTATATTGATTGAATTTTTTTATCAAATTTTTATTCAAATGATGTGATATAATTTTACACAATTAAATAAATAAATCTTATTAATATTTAATAACAGAAATTATATCACATCATTTGAATAAAAAAGATTTGATAAAGATAACATTTTCCACTTTTCCGGCCCCAGGTTACAAGTCCCAGTCAATTGGGTTGTGAAGATGTACAGTTTGAAAAGACTTTTTGGGTTAATTACATGTTAGGCCTCAAAAGATTGGTGACTCACACAGATTGATCCTTTCTTGTTTGACAAATAACAATGTGTCTCCCTAATGATAGAGAAAGTTAGTAACAACTAGCCCACTGATGTTTATACCCATGTGTGTGTGTGTGTGTGTGTTGTTGGGGGTTGGGGGTGGGGCAGAGTTTGACAGCCCTTTCAAAAATTTAATTAGCATACATAAATTTTATTGGCATTCAAATTTTTGCTAACACAGTTTAACCAAGATTATTTAAACAACCTAAATTGAACTCTCTCTCACACAAAACCCACAAATGATTGGCATTTGAAGTATCAAGTATCTACTGCCTGCAATCAAAAAGTTAAATAAAATAAAGACCATTCAAATATCGTAACCTTCTATGACCCGTATACGTTACTTGTGGGTGTCAAATGATAAATGATGCGACAAATATCCCACTACCTCACAAGTCTCCGGTCATCTACTTATCCCAACTTCGGAAAATATATACGATGTGGCAAATGATGCCGCCCTAGTTTGCTCATGGTGGCCAATAATTCTGTAGCCAATCGAGCTATTTCACTCATTTACGCCACCAAGATTGACCCTGGTCAGTTAATTTGATTAAAAAATTTAATACACTTGTGTGATGATGAAGGAATTTTCCACTTTCAAGCTTGATCATGATCAAATCTTATCAACTTTAATTCCGATATCCTTGACTACTAGGATTTCATTATCGTACAAGACAGAATACAACTAGGCAACTTGTTGCCCCTTATTATATGTTGACCAAACTCTACCGTAGTTGAGTTCACAGCCGAGTCACTACAGCCTCAACCTTGTTTCCACGACTCAGTTAACCTTTCCAAAGCAACTCGGGACGATCCATTTTCTGCCAAAGCAGCCCTGGCTTCATCTCTCATTGCCTTGACCTGGTCTCTTACGGCTTTCCCACTCTCTGAATCCATCAACTCTCTGACTCGTCTCTCCAACTCGGCCGAACTCACAAACCCATCTTCTGACTCGTCCAACGGCAAAGCCACCTTCATTTCCTCCACCAAAAATACCCTATTCAATCTTTGCTCCGCATACAAAGGCCAAGTCACCATGGGCACGCCGGAACAAACAGCTTCCAAAACCGAGTTCCACCCACAATGAGTCACGAACCCACCCACTGAGTCATGGCTCAGTACATCCAATTGTGGAGCCCACGCCTTCACCACAAGGCCTCTATCTTTGGTTCTCTCCAAGAAACCTTCCGGCAATAATGCATCCAAATCAGGCTCCGATGATGTTGATGAGGCCTTATCATTTGTGGGTGGACTGCGCACCACCCACAAGAACCTGTTACCACTATTTTCTAACCCAACAGCCATCTCCTTCAACTGTTCTTCTATGAACACCCCATTACTACCAAAGCATAGAAACACTACACTTTGGCTTGGCTGCGAGTTGAGCCAAGTCAAACACTCGTCCTCACTGCCACTTTTAGCATTAGTTTTAGCATTACTGGCTATTAAAGGACCAATATAATAAACTGGCGGGGTTGGGCCATTTGTGATGCATTTTCCTTCGGAAATCGCTTTGACAGCTCTTGGTTCAAGTGATTCAAACGTGTTTGTGATGATTCCGGATGATTTTGCCATGTTATTTGCTGTGTCTACGAAGTTCTTATATCCCACACTGTTCCGATGGAGAAAAACTTCAGGAAAAGCGGAAGGAGATAGGGGTGGTGCGCCTGGCACCTCAACGTAAGAAAGATCTTTGATGCCGGTGGTGGTTTTATCAATAGTTGGAAGGTAAAAAAATATTGTGAGAACGAATGCACCGGAGGTGTAGAAGTAGTAAGTGGGTATGTTTAGGCTAGTTGAGACTTCGAAGGAAGCATTACAGAAGAAGTCGATGATAAACGCTTTGAGTTTTGATTTCTGAGAGATGGTTTGAAGTGCTTGGTGGACGTTTGGGTTGTTGAGTCGAGGTACTTCAAAGGCAAGGTCTTCAAAGAAGGTGAATTTAGGAGGGGGAGAGATGGTTGGGAGGTGATGGAAGGTGATGGAAGGGCATGTGGCAGAGACACGGCTGATATATGGGCCAGTTGTGCCGGTGTTGTAAGGTGCATCAGTGATGAAGATTATGATGGAAAAGGAAGGTTGGTGAGTGAGTATGAGCTTCCCTAGCTCCACCGTGGAGACCAAGTGACCAATTCCGGGAGAAGGATACAACACTATGGTGTCCTCCATCTCTGCGNGCTCCACCGTGGAGACCAAGTGACCAATTCCGGGAGAAGGATACAACACTATGGTGTCCTCCATCTCTGCGTGTGTGTGTGAGAGAGAGAGAGAGACAACTGAGATGAGATGGGATGGGATGGGATGGGATTGGCTATAGATCAGACTCTTATGTAGAAGAGAAGAACTGATTGTTGACTGGCATTTGCTAAACGGAGAATCTTCCCGAAAAGTCTTCGGTATAGTCCGACACATTTTTATCAGATATGGTTCACAACCATTTCTTGGCTAGCGTCATGCCACTGGCCCACTGTTGAAATAATGTTAAAGCGTCCCTGTTATTCTAGAAAACGTCCAGGACTTTCTCCCCAAAACTTTATTTTTAACAAAATTTTCCTTTTCTCAAATATTTGATCAGGGACTTGCTCCAAAAGTTGGGTTTTAATCTCACTTAACAACAAATGCCGAGGAATTTTCCAAAAGTTGGGTTTCAATCCCCTGTTTACAGCCTTAATACCAGATTCGCCACCACATATATACTAAACATGGAGCTCTCACAATCTTTATGCTAACACACACCCCTAATTGTTGAACCAAAAAAATAAAAAAAAAATGTTCATGCCAAGTAGGGGTGACAAATGGATCGATTAAATTGGTTATGGGTTGGGTTAAATTAGATTGAACTAAAATAAATTAAATCTATTTTTTCCTCACCTAGTAAATGAGTTATAATGAGTTGGGTTTATAACGAATTAAGTTAAACCGACTAACCCATAAAATAATTAAAATTCTTAATAGACACATTGGTACACCAAAACACACACACATACATTAGTAGTACACAAAATTACAAACATACACAAACACACTAATACATCAAAACACACACAAACTAATATATTAAAAATATGCATACTAATATACTAAAATACACACTAATACACTAAAAATACATACACATATACTAAAACAAAAACTAAAACTTATTTAATAAAAAAAAATACATACATAATAGATCGGAGTCAATTGTGGGCTATGGGTTAATCTACGAGTCATGGGTCAACCATTGAATCATGGGTCAACCAATGAGTCATGGGCCACGAGGTAAGCCATGGGTTATGGGTTGACCCATGGGCCATCAGTGGTGTATTAGTGTGTATTTTTAATATATTAGTGTGTGTATATTTTAGTATATTAGTGTATATGTGTTTATTTTTTGGTGTAATAATGTGTATATTTTTTAGTATATTATCATATTTATTTAATTTTATTATTTGTGTTATTTAATAAAAAGATAAATACTCAACTCAATGAGNTATCATATTTATTTAATTTTATTATTTGTGTTATTTAATAAAAAGATAAATACTCAATTCAATGAANACAAACTAATATATTAAAAATATGCATACTAATATACTAAAATACACACTAATACACTAAAAATACATACACATATACTAAAACAAAAACTAAAACTTATTTAATAAAAAAAAATACATACATAATAGATCGGAGTCAATTGTGGGCTATGGGTTAATCTACGAGTCATGGGTCAACCATTGAATCATGGGTCAACCAATGAGTCATGGGCCACGAGGTAAGCCATGGGTTATGGGTTGACCCATGGGCCATCAGTGGTGTATTAGTGTGTATTTTTAATATATTAGTGTGTGTATATTTTAGTATATTAGTGTATATGTGTTTATTTTTTGGTGTAATAATGTGTATATTTTTTAGTATATTATCATATTTATTTAATTTTATTATTTGTGTTATTTAATAAAAAGATAAATACTCAACTCAATGAGTACTCATTTGTAATTCATATTAACTCGCTTAATTAAAATGAATCATATTACCCAACCCATTTAAAACTCATTAATTAATATAGGTACTCAACCCATTTATTTATGGACACGTTTGACAGATTAATGGGTAATGGGTAATAGGTTAAGATTATCACCGCTAATGCCAAGCAAATGTACTGCTATACTGAATTCCAGGGTGAGATCTGCCAACAGAAAAAATCTATAAATTTCAGTAATTTGAAATGAATCAGCAACAAAACCATGAGAAACTCTTGCATTCACACAGCATAGATTGTGCATAAACAGACAATGATGGTTGATCAATACCTTGACATACTATCGAAGTCCTCTTATATACTTGTCAAGAGTTGTATTGAAAAGATCACATCTACACATCCAAGTAGAGGCATGGCTAGTTAACATCCAAGAACTTTTGCATTTTAAAGCAATTTACAATGTAAATCTAGTCATTAAGCACACAAGCTGTCTAGCAGTCTTTAGATTGAGATGCCACCTAAATATGAACAGTTATGGATGTAAGGTTTGGATTTCCAATGCAGAGATCACATTCCCTCATAAAAAAATAAAATATAAGTACACCTATCACATTTGCTGCTCATAACAAATCAATGACTCTAAGATAAGAGATCAACCAACTTAAATTTACCTGATCAACATGTGAATATAAAAACATGAAGTTTTGGATTGATACATGAATATGTACATATGAAGGTTTGGATTGATGAGTGTTTTCTTTTAAATTGCGTAAAACCATATAAAACTTGTCACTTCTTCAACTGTCCAAAAGGTCCTTCCAAAAAAACTGTCCAAAAGGTAAAATGGTACGATGCACCTATCTGGGATGAGAGTCTAAACAAAGTTATTTTGAAAAAGAAGCCTCTAAGTTGGTATGTAGCAACAAAATCCTTGACAATGGATCTCACAATGTTGAAATCTAATTGCTTACCTAATTGGAGTTCCTGGTGTATAGTTTGGATTCTTCATAAGGTATTCAATGTACAAGTTGTAAATGTAATTTAGGGATTCTCTAAGATCACTGGTCATAGGGTGACTGACCAGGATGATCTGCACAAAACCATTTAGGCATGCTAAGAAGTGCAGAATTGTACAAATGATGGATGCTTAAGAACATATGATCTTACAAAAATGGGCAACATAATAAATTTGTTGTTCAGCATTTATCAAACTGTTCTAATTTCCTTTGTTTCTTTGTCTCAATCAGTAAATTGCTGATCTTTTTTTATTGTTGCAAGCATTTACATGCACCCTTGTTCCAACCAATACTTTAACCTTCCACCTTCCCCTTTGGAATGGCAAGAGAAGCCATCAAGCCAGCCAATGTTGGTATCAATATACAATCCTTATTGGAGTAGTAAAGATGAAGCTCAGTAAATAATGTCAGGTGTTGCCTTATCATAAATTCTGTGTACTTAATCCTTCCTAACCCTTAGATCCAAGTCATATAGTATAATGTATTCATTTTCATTATTCTTGTAGTTGCACTCCTCTCAAGTATTCTGATTAACATCAGTTACCGGAAAGAATAATCATCATTTTGCTACTGCTATTTGAACAAAAATTTCTTTTTGCCAATTGTTACTAATCCAAATCCTCTGCCAAATGATTATCAGAATGGTGAATGCAGTGACTTGCAGAATCTTAATGACGGGGAAAAGTTGAAAAGAGGATTGGGACTGAGCCCAAGGAAGTCCAATGGCAGTCATGTTTCTCTGCTAGATACGATAATTTCTCTCATCAATTCTTACCGTGTTTATATATAAAGTTTGATCCAACAGAGTTAAGGTGTTGATCTTCCTTTTCAGATAGCATATTGTTATCAATATATGTTTTAGAGGTAATATTTCCTTTTGATGGCATCTCAATGAGACTGAGTAATATGAGAACTAAAATATCTCACCCCGCTAAGAATGATAGATTTAGAATCATTACGAAAGGCGCAAGCGCCTGAGTTTCAAAACAAGCACTATGACACACAAGCATGTTTCATGACTATATAAACCATAACTAATAAACACAGTGCCTACAGCATTTCAGATCCAACTGAAATTTTAGCATTCCCTTGCCTAATATGTATGCAATTGATAGGCAGCCACAAGAAACTAACCCGCAATGAAAATCTATTTAAGGCAAACAAGTTTTAAATTCAGCAGCCAAAGATGTATATCATAGCAAGTTGAATAAAAAGGAATCAACAGAAATGTTCCTACTGACCTTTATCCCTGATGGACTCTCCATAAAACAAAGTTTGAAAGTATTTGTACGAAAACTGTAAAATGAACACCCTTGTCCTGGTAACTGTGGCACCCCAAGTTTTCCTTTCTCAACACTGCCCAGGAAAATTTTGAAAAAAACAAAGAAAATAAAAACGGTAAAATACAAGAATGAACTCAATCACCGACCGCAATGAAAAACATCACAATCACTAGGTATAGTTCCCATTACACCACTCACACCTTAATATAAATTAGCTCCACATAAAACGATGCCTGATTCTCTTAAAGTGTAGGAACACCAGTACCAATAAGTAAATATCTTTAGCTATCCCATGGTAATACGAATGCAGCTAACATCTAATAAAAGTACGGTAAAGTTACATACATTAAAAGATACTGATGTCCCTAATGCAGGAAGATTTCTCAGTATGTTATAAAAATAAGACCCTTTGATCTTCTTATTAAAAGAAGAACCTCAAATCGTAATGGTTCACCATGTTACTCTGCTCTCTAAGCACGATGCCATTGCAATAAGTATGAGATACCATTTAAAATGAACCCTAGGATATTTATAGCATAGAATGCAAGAAAATACAGTACATTGTTAACCCACTACATCCTATGAATGCTTAATCTCATGTCTGGTGATGACCCCATCTGTGTTCATTCCAAAGTCCATCCTTTGTATCACGTCAGGACTCGGATCATACAACAGATTTCTACAATCAAAAACTACCCAAGAAAATGAATCCCATGGAAAATCCAAACAATTCCTTGAGAACAATTACTAATAAAGTCAATATTTTGAAGAAGAAAAATCAACCTCGTGGGATCCATTTTGGCTGTCAAGGATTTGAGAGAAAAGAGCAGACCGAACATGAGCTTGTGGTCCTGTTGGGCATTCAGGGTCCGGAGCTGCCTATTCCACTCCCTGTAAAGCAAACACACTCCATTCCTATTAAACACATAAATCATGTGGGCATTGTTTCCCCCTGCTGTTAGTGCAGGTGGTGATGGACTGATCTCTGACCCTCCAAAAAATTGCATTGTGATAAATTGTTCAATAAACTCCAATTAACTCGATTGAAATCGGCACCTGGATATGAAAGAACAGTGCTTGGAGTCTCTGCAAACACAAAAAATTCTCGTTTACTCCAGATTGCTGAGAAAATGAAGGACGAGAGAGAAGTTAAGTTGTCGAATCTGGAAATTTTTCATCAATTCAATCTTTTGGCCCTGGTTGGCTTTCATTTCTCACTAATTTCAAGCCCCACCTTTTTTTAAACTCAAATTTAAATTTGGGTAAAAAAATTCCTAAAAATCTTCTCCAATATTAGACCCATAACCATGAAAGGAGACTTATTTTTTTACTCAATTCAAGTAGACTCAAATTTAAACCTAAATTTTTAATGGTCACCTTCGTTAAAGATCCAACGATCATATTTTTGCCTCATTTAAATTTGAGTTTCTTCCTTTAAATTTGGTTTCTCAGTTTATGCCAAATCAAGCTTTTTATCCTTTATTTTACTCAAATTTAGGTTGGAGATGGTGCAAAAGATTCTCAATTTCCAGTTTTTTTCTCGGTTTTCTTAGGGATAAACGGTGAGAAGGTTCGCATCCGCAAAACCTAATTTGGGAATATGCACAATATCGGAAGCAAGTAGTTCTATTCAATCGGCATAATCCAAACACTAATGAAGAAAATGCACGGAAGTAAAGAGTTCTGCAAAGAATAATGGAAGAGAGAGACAGACAGACAGACCTGCAGAGCTGATCGCAGTGCAGCAGGGCAGTTTTCGAAGAGCTGCGATTTTGCTACTTCGTCAATTGCGGGTTCTCCGCTGCCTCTGCCGGGACTACGGTGAGCGGCCAATCGGTGCTTCTGACATGAAAAGCAAAAGCTTGGAGCGGCCAATTTTTTGGATATTTTTTGAGCGCGAATGCACTATGTTTACTGTTTTAGTGAGTCTCTGTTTATTAATGGTGACTAATTCACTTAAAAAATTAAAAAAATATTAGGATAAATTTTTATTCAATTTTCATCATGAATCACAATTCATTTATACTCCTTTCTCCACAAGAATGTAAAATTGTAAATAGTTATTTGTAGAAATAAAAAGTAGCATTTGAGTTACAAAAAAAATTCCCCAAGTATAGTTGCATTTATAGTACTATTAATACACATGTAAAAAAATAGATTGTTATGTGTCATGTACATTTATCTCAAACAATATTGTCAGAAGTGTTTTTAAGATACTTGACTTTATAAACAAAATATAATATTTGATTTAGTAAACTAAGAACTAACAAATGTTACAAAAATGCAAATTCAATTTTTTTTATACGATTTTCAAAACAATCATTTTTTTCTTTACTACGAAATTTGCATGCATACTTGATGATTCCTAGAATATGTCAAAGATTGAGCTCGATAATTTGAATTGTGCTCTCTTAGATCGAAAGCTCAATTCGCTTTGAATGCCCATGAAACTCTAGTTCGGACCCAATCTCCCTACATCTGCATCTCAAGGAAGACAATATAGAAGAAAGTTGACTTATACTAAGTACCACCTCAATAGCAACAATGGCTTATCCATACAAATAAATTACAATTGTCCCAACACTTTCCACAAATTGTTGTGATATAGTAACAACCGTTACAAAGAGGACCAAGAATCACGCCAAGGATCAAGCAAAGCTCGAGACCAACTATAAATAAGAGGCATAACCCCAATAATACGGATAAGTCATTGTAGCCTAATTTGATAACTCTGTGTAAATCCCCTTTATTAATATATCCCCCATGAACAGGAAAATTTTTTAAAAGTGGATTAATCAAACTCTCGAACTAGTGAACTATTGTAAACTTTTTTTGTGTTAATCTCATTCCTCTGGTCCAATTTTCAAGAACCTAGAAGCTCAAATTAAATTACTGGGTGCTCACTAATTCTCACTTCTGCTTCATCGTGCTAAATCATCATCAATACTTATTCTTAAATGTCTTATTATTAACTGATACACCGTTTGTTATGGAATTTTGTGGTTTTTATAGTGATCTCTCTTCGTCGGGCTTTCCAACTTGAGATCTTTGGTGGACAAATGTTGGGAATGGGACATAAATAAAAAGAATATATTATAATACCTATTGGTGCAAACGAACCGGATCATGCGCAATAAGCCAGATAGGTTTTATAGACAACAAGTTAAGATCACACCAAGAGTCTAACAAAAGCACACGTCTATATAAAGGGAACACCCACAAATTGTCCACAAACGTTGGGCCCGAAAGTTCACATCATGTATGGGCGGGGGCG